AATCCTTCATCAGAGGAGGACAAAATGTTTTAAACCTCGTTTTCGGGGCACACCCCCACCATGGGACACCGCAGCGAAGAACCTTGTCATACTGATCTCCCATCCATCCCCCCAAACCCAACCCAAAAGCCATGACACCATGGGCCAGCCATGAACACCGCATTCAGAGTAAAATTAAAAAAGGAAATTAAACAATGTTTAGAAAATAGGAATTAATTTTTTGTTTTAAATAACCATCGTGGCAGCACGTTGCACTTGCCACGGTCACAGAATTGGGATAAAAAGGATAAAAAGTGCTGCTGTGTGTATTGCAAGACCGGAAAAGCCCAATTTTTGGATGCATTAAACCTCACGCCACCTCCCAGGAGGATCTCAATGGCACCGGTCTGGGTCTTGGGCTGGTTTGGGAGAGGTCCCTTCGCCCCCCTGCCCATCTGCCCAGGACGTCCCAGGGCGCGTCAAGACCAGGGGACGGTGCCGAAAGGCAGGTCCAGGTTACAGCACAGCAACCGCTTTTTGGGGGGGTAAGGCAGAACCCAGCCTCGGCCCTGCGAGCGCGGGGACAACCCTGACCGAGGCACTGCAGGGTCCTGGGGCGCTCGCTGGTTTTCAAGGGCGGGCAAGGAAAGGGCCGGCGTATGGCGAACAGCTCGCGATCTCGAACTGAGACCCTGCCCTGCCCCTGCCCAGCTACTCGAGGGCAGAGGCTGGAAAAGAATTTGGCACAAGCAGGGAGCTTGTGAATTGGTTTGATTTTCAACCTGGGCTTGCTCCTGGCGGACCCCTTCAGCAGAGCCACCATTTCCCACCACTTACCCCTCAAAATGAGAGCACCAAGACATTCCATGCAATGCCAGGGCCTCAACCCCAGCGCTCGATGCCCCCTGTGGCCACCAGATCAACCCTGGGGCCAGTGCCCAGCCCAGCACCGCTCCAGCTCAGCCATGCACCAGCCCGGCAGAAACATGGGCACACATACGCAGAGCAGAACCCCCCAAATCGTGGGGGCTGGCAGGGCCCTCTGGGGATCACCCAGTGCCACCCCCTGCCCAAGCAGGCTCACCCAGAGCAGGGGGCACAGGACAGCGGCCAGGCGGGGGTTGAAGATCTCCAGAGAAGGAGACTCCACAGCCCCCCTGGGCAGCCTGGGCCAGGGCTCGGGCACCCTCAAAGTCAAGAAGTTCTTCCTCACGTTCAACTGGAACCTCTTGTGCTTCAGTTTGTGCCCATTGCCCCTTGTCCTGGCACTGGGCACCACTGAGAAGAGTCTGGCTCCATCCTGATGACCCCCACCCTTGAGATATTTGTAGGTGTTGATCCCCTCCAGCCTTCCCTTCTCCAGGCTGAACAAGCCCAGCTCCCCCAGCCTTTCCTCCTAGGGGAGATGCTCCAGTCCCCCCATCACCTTTGTAGCCTCCTCTGGGCTCTCTCCAGTAGCTCCTCATCCTTCTTGAACTGGGGAGCCCAGAACTGGACCCAGTACCCCAAGATGTGGTCTAGAAGCAGTGTTTGCTAACACAGCCCAGGGCTGGTACGCTGCCGCAGCCAGGAGGTTTGGGGGTTTTTATTTTGCTCTACAAAGGTATTCCTCTAGCAAGACACAGCTTGGAAAATGGTGTTTATTGGTATTTATAAATACAAACATAAGGAAGAGTCCATTTGAAGACAGATAATTGACTTAAAAGGACACTGTCAAGTTGTTTGAGCTACCTTAATGCTGTCACCCTGTTCTGGGAAAAGAAAGAAAAAAAAAAAAAAAAACAAAAAAAAACCAAAAATGCTTTGGGTTCTGTGTTCTTGAGTTTTCCCTGGAAAACTCTGCTCCGTTCCCAAGAAATCAGCCAGCCAACTACCCCCTGGCTTGCAAAATCATTTTAGCTCTCCCCTGCCACAGTACAAACTAAACCCGGTGTTCTTCCCGGAGCTGTGCAAACACCCTGACTGCAGGGTGCTGCCCCGAGCAGAGCCAGTCTGTTACCACGTGAAGCGCTGTTATCTTCTGCCACCCCCAAAACTGGAGAAAGTTCTGCAAATGAAGTATAGGAACGTGCTCGTTGAGGGGGGGAGAGAATCCACAGCGCTAAAGAGGATTGGAATAAATATAACGGATTAAAAGCGACCTACAGGAAAGGAATTGACAGTATCCTTTTAAACACAGCAGACTGGGTTTCCTCCCAGCAGACTGCGCCTCTGCAAGACCTCGTTAAGCATATACAGATGGGTTGGGGGAATTTAAGCTGTCGATGAAGGCGATACAGCTTCGGTGGTACTAAGCGACCCTTCTGACTGCCCGAGTAGCTCAGACAGTAAATAAGAGGGATGGGAAGCAACAAGCTGTCCTCAAAGCAAACCCGCAGTGTAAAAAACAAGCCCCTGGGGACCCTAAAATTCCATGTGCTGCACCCTTGCTCTTCCCCCATCACAGGATTCTTCAGCGTAAAGGTGAAGCAGCACTTCCAGCTGGGATGATTGAAGACTTGCTCCTGGCGGTCAGCTGGGAACCGTCCATGAACACGGGCGCTCCCCCCCATCCCGGGGCGCAGGCAGCAGGAAGAGCGCAATTACTTACACGTCAGCTTGTCTTCCACAAACCTGTGAAGAGTTTGACCAAGTTCTGCCCCATTAAACCCTCGGCATCTGCCCATCCGTTCACAGGTCTCACAGCGGGCATCCGGAACTGCCAGCATCAAGGAACGGGGAGTTCACAGAGCTGCCCCGGGCACCTGGGTTAATCTCGCCTGAAATGCCTCAAAACCAGCAGCTACGGCAGCTAGGAAGGACTGGCACATAGCAAACCCCCGCTTCGTTCAGCTGGTTCCTTCTCTGGGGCAAGACACTTACCTGCGGAAGGTCGGGAAGTCAGCACAATCACCCAGCGCTCGTGCCTCAGCGGACAGAAAACGTGACAGTACCCGAGGGCGTTTTGAGGCCAGCTGGTCCCCCCGCTTCCGCGAGCGAGGGATTATTTCTTGATCAACAAGCAAGATTCTACTTTGCTTTTCCTCGGGGGCAGGATGAGGGGTTGGAGGGCAAGGACAGCAGGAGTAGGGAATGTACAGTCACCAGAACAGAGACTATAACTTCTTCCCTATCTCGAGAGTTATATTCTTGTTATGGGGATAAAACCTGAAATGCAAAACAAATTTGGACACCCAATCGCTGATAAAAAGAGGCCAAGGAGCCTACGAGAGCCCAGCCTGGAGTGCAGCTCACTTGTCATTTAAAAAAATCCCAAATGGGTCACGACAGGCTCAGGCTTCTAATGGCAAAAAGTTCTTTTTTTTTTTTTTTTAATTTAAATTGTTGATTCGTAACTTCCATTTGGTAAATCTCAAAAAATTACTGAATTAGAAATCTGTAAAAAAAAAAAAAAAAAAAAAGCAGGATGTAGGAAGGGTAAAAAAAAAAAACTGAGCCTGACGTTACAGATTTCAAGCTACCACAACAACCTAGGAAGCCTCTGAGCTGGATGCTACAGAACACAGAAGAAACAGCTGAACCTTCGACGTGAGCATGCTCAGGGTGGTCAGCAGGGAACGGCAAGTAGAGAAGCACGCGTAAATCATGTCTCACAACAGCTGCTGTTTCATTCCCTCACTCAAAAACGGATATAAAACTTGTTGGGATTTTCAGGTTTGGGTTTGTTTTGGTTTTTTTTTTTCCCCTCCTTCTGGACAACAGATGCAGGGTTAAAGCACGCTCCTTTCCTCTCCCCCTCTCAAAGGATTTCACTTACTATTCCAACCTCAACAGCAGCCAGAGTCATTCTGGGTTGGCAAAAACCCTCCCCTCCTCACCGCAATGATTTCATCTGAGCATGCCCAGTAGGAATGGTTCAGAATTATACCAATCCACCTACAGAAAACGCCAACACAGCTCCAGCTCCCATACTGCAGAATTCATCAGCTTGCTGGAACGGGTGGGGTGTGTATATGTATGCGTATGGGTGGCTACAGGGGCCTGGCACCACAGCCCTGCTCACTGGCCCTTGCAAATGACACTGGTATCGCTTTTCCTTGAAGATACTGGTGTCCACCGTAAATTCCGCCAAGTGTAATTACTCAGTTTACAAGGATGAGCACTTCCAGTGTCATAGGATGATGCAACATCTGCAGAAGCGTTGTCTGCTGCCCCCGACTGAAGGAGGTGGAGTCACAGGCGCGAAGTAGGCATGGACTTTAATATTGGGCAAATGGGTCTGCAAAGACAAACACAGGGTGTAAAGTGAGAAGGGCAGCAGCAGCACAGGAGGCAGAGAGAAGCTGAAATAGGCCCGGCTTACTTGCCTTCAGACTAACATAAAGACTAGAGTCAAACTCTTTCAGTTCACCAGCGTGATTTCCCCACAGACCGCGGATTAGCAAATTCTTTCTGTTCCCAGAAAAGAGAGTTACGGGCACTGAGAACAAACCCGACGCCCTGTCCTCACCATGCATCCTGTGGTGGCCGTGGGGAACAGAACGACGTCTAACTGTACGGATCCGTGTTCTCTTGGCAAATAAAACGTTATCATTACTCCTCTTTTACAGATGGAGAAATAGGCTCGGGGGGAAATCACTGGACAGAGAGTGCCGAAGATGACCGGCAGCTAGCGACAGAGGGGCCCTGGCTCTGTCCCGCTCACAGGGACACGCAGCCTCCCCTACAACAGGCTGGCGTTCTTACAGGGTCTGCTGGAATTATTTACATGGGAGCTGTCAGTATAAAGTGCGCTACGATCTACGCTGAGCCTACCAAGTACTCGAGAGGAGGCGCCATGCTACGTGTATGCTGCGGCACTAACGCTCAGTCCCACGTTTAGGAGGGCCCTGTCGTGTACGCTGGGTCTCCTCTGTTCCCTTCTGCTGCTACTCAGTGAACACAGCAATTCTCTCTCCTCCCTACCAGCTAGCGCTCATCCCTATCCAATCTTCTGAGTGCAGGACAGCTATTAATTTCATAGATGATGGTTCTCACCATACTTTTAAGAATAAGCCACCAAATCACGAGCAATCTGAAACCTCAGCCCTCCTGCCTCCCACCAGATAAAGTGTTCAAATAAAGCCGAAAAGAAAGATTAATTTTGGTTTTTTGTTTTTTGTTTTTTGTTTTTTTTTTTTTACCCTGAGTCTCTTGATCCCTGCCCGAGTGATTTGCTGACAGTCGTACAGTTCTATCCTCTCCAAGCTGTGGCAGCTTTTCAGGTGCTCCAGGGAGGCGTCTGTGATCAAAGGGCAGTTATCCAGCTCAATCACCTCCAGGCGGTCGTGTGCGCAGGCGCCGTTTCCCAAGTGACGAATCCCATCGTCCGTGATCAGCTCGCAGTGGGACAAACTCTGCACCAAAACACGGAAAGTTAGCAGCCTCTGCCATTGGCAAACAGAAGCCAACACCCTGCTGGGGAACGCTGGGGGACAAGAGAGAAGATGGCCCACATTTCATAGGTTTGGACTGGTTTTCCATACTGGTTTTTTGGACAGGTCTAACTCCCTCCTTGCAGTGGAGCCACCAGTGCGCTCCAAACTCCAGGCGCTGGGCTCTGTGGGTCTCCAATGACCAACGTGCCTGCAAGGGGAAAGCTCATAGCTGAAAGGCAATGGGAAGGGCAGCTGCGGAAAAGGTGAGACTTAACTGGGCCAGGAGACAGGACAGCACAGAACTGGAACAAAAAAGAAACCACCTCTCTAAGATCTGTGGCCTTACGCATCATGGGAAGGACCCTATCACCAGGTCTAAGGACCAGCAGAAATACAATGTCACCTACTTGGTGCATTTTTTTGGGGGGGGGGTTGCACCTTAAAAGTTCTCGAGGAGGAAGTGGGGCTTGAACTAGGAGACAGCATCAGCCTGTTGCTTTGTTGAGGGCCGCAGCGTGCAGAAGGGATGGCTGCACAGGAGAGCCCACTGACTGCATCCCTCACTGCCCAGGACAGGCTTTCTCATGATGATGACGGAGCCGTACACACAGGGACGCAGAGGAAATTGAGATTAAATTCATAGAAATTTAGACCAAGAGGAACATTGCTTTCCAGAGCCAGCAAGCTTTCCAGACCTCAGCTACCCAGCTCCATACTACAGGTGAGGAGAGCTGCAGTCTCCTCTTCTACAGACTGACAGCTCGGTTTGTAGACAGATTCTGCCAGGTTTGCTGAGGACAGCCACAGGCTGGTACCGGGAGAATCCAGTGTCCTACAACTCATTTTCAGGCAGCTGTGGGCGCCTGGCATACGATTAATGCTAGCGGTAGGGGAGGGACAATAGGTTCCTCAGGGTCAAGTTTCTAGCCGAATTCTTCCAAGGCTTCACAACACGTCTATGAAGTCAAAGAGACAAATCCCCACGGGCAGCGCTTAAAATCCCTTTGTTTATAGAAAGAAAATGCTGAAACTCACACTTATAATACTCACCAGAACCTGAAGCCGTGGACAGTGTATGGAAAGCTGGATTAGTGTACCGTCTGTTATCTGGAAAAAAAAAAAAAAAAAAAGAAAAAATCCTTTCATGCTGGGTGCTTTGCAGAAGGACTTTCCCCCCACTACAAAAGAAAAACTGCAAACTTTTGCCTAATCCATGACAGTGTTCCCCACAGTCACTCTCCTGAGCCCCTCAGGAACTCATCTCCCATGTGACCAAGTTTCAGATGTACAGGATCTTCCACTCCCTTACAGAAACCAACTCATGTCCTTAAAAAGGACTGTGAAGACATAGGGTATCGTTGGGTTTTTTTGAACTTCCTTAGGTAGCTCTCATGAAATAAGCTCACAATTAAGAGAAGCCAGCGAGCAGACCTCTTCAACACCCCAATGTCTCCTAAATGTTTGCCTTTGAAAGTACAAGAGGCGTCCAAATCCCCTTCCAACAGCTCAGTGGATTGCCGAATTGTTCCTCTTTATTCTTCAGGAAGAAAGAGACTCAACACAATGGCTTTCTAATCTAAAAGCATTCAGAAGGGAACTTGCTGGGCTGCCTTTGTTCAGTGCAGTCAGTCCAAGGACACAGCCCAATTTTACTTCTTCCTTTTTTGGGGTAACTTTAAATCGCTTCCCGTCTGGACTAGTGTAATTTCCTCTGGTGATCTCCTGAACTTCTGCCCTGTAAACATCAGGAAATACAGAATGCCGGGGTCACGGTGTTCTCATGGCAGGAAGCAAGATCCTATTATCTCCACTGTCTTTGTCTGAATCGATTTCAAATCTATCCTTAGGGTTAGAGGTTTTTCATGGGATCCTGAGTAAATTCCACTATTTTCCCCTGCCAACGCTACCTTGAATCCATTACCAGCTTATGGCACGTACCCTACAGACTGGTGTGCAGTCCCATACAAGAGACCTCCTTAAAAACTAAGGAAGACAGCTGCAGCGCAGGGTTGTAAGAGACTCACACAGTAACAGACTCATTACATTACGTCCCACTGCCTTTGAGGAAGGCTAACAGTAGCACGGACACCCCGGTTTTATTTCAAGTTCTTGCCATGTCCTCTATAATGTCATTGCTGCTCAAACAACCTGGCTATGTTCTTTCAAAACAGAGGTAACTTCCATAATTTCTAGCAATATTTGTAGCACAAACCTCCCCTCGCCTTAGGTGCAGAGATCTTACTCCGGGACTTTATCTGGCATCAAGGGTCACAATTCACACATCTATTACATGACCTTTAGGACACAGCTATTAAAGATTTCTTTTATTATTTACGATAGCATTCATTGCTACGAAGTACGAACAAAGGATCAAACTACAGAAGCCATAGTTTCTTATCCAAATATATCCGGTCTTCTTGCTCAGGATTCTACTTTTTCAGTCTTTCCACACTGTACTGAGAAAAAAAAAAAAAAAAAGCAGCCAGAGGTGGCACCTCTTACCTGGACGCACTCTTCCAGGTCCATTTTTTCAAGCTCGTGGCAGTTCTAGGAAGAAACAAAAGATTGAACACACAAACTAAGTGCCAAGTTCAGACAGCAAATATAAACACAACTACAACAAAACTGTCTTTTTTAAAAATGGAGGGTTTTCCTCCATGAAACATCAGGACTGAAAGGAAAGTTTGCTGCTGCTTTATGAACACCACTTAATACAGTAAAGAAAACCTAGCAATTTCACTCAGTTAAAAGCACTGAGGTTTTCTATTCATAGAAAGTAAAGGAGGTTAAATTTAGGGTCAGTTGTATAGAACACAGATTAATCTAGAAAAAGCAAACAGTAAATTTTATAACTCTCAAGTATTTAACATCTCACTTAGTTTGGATGCACATCCTCCTACATGTGCGGGTCAGGACAGTGCCAAAGATTCCATACAACCTAATTTTTGTAGCTTAGCTTCAACGTCGAGATCAGAAGCATTACAAAAGTCTACATTGAAGAGAAAGCTACTGTTTTGTTCACATCTACCAGAAAAAGAAAGCAAAGATATGTGATGAAAAAGGGGAAATGAGCACTTACCCTAGCTAGAGTGGTAAAGCCCACATCTGTTAGTTGAGAACACCTTGCAACTTCTAATATTCTGCACAGAAAGAATTTATAATAACCATGGTGGAGTCATTTTGCTTTTCAGAGTGTTTCATTAAAAGCTTCCAGCAACCCAGAAAAGTTTGACCTGGTTTAGGCTGTGCTCTCTGAGGGGATAATTTGCACAGAGCATCCACCCTCTATACCTGAGTGTAGGTCACAGGGAAAGAAAAAAAGAAGTCAGGCTAAAAGGGAACTCCAAGGGTCATCCAGTCCGTACCCCGCTACGAGGCAGGGAGGCCTAATCCGACAAATGTTGGACTAAGGTGCTCTTAAAAACCTTCATTGCTGGACACTCCACAACCTCCCCAAGTGATCTCCTCTGGTTTCCACTCAAAAAACAGATCTCGTCATGAAAAAGGGTGTAATACACGACAACCTGGCAGATGGGCATGAAAGAGTAAGTATTTAATAGAATCATAGAATGTTTTGGGTTGGAAGGGACCTGTAGAGGTCATCTAGTCCAACACAATGCCACAACACAAGAGTCTGAAGTCTTCTAAGGGGCAAACTTCTTGCTTCTGTGACAACAGCTAACCTCCTGGCAGGTAGTTACCGCAGCTCTACAGAGGTTTGCTTCCCAACGTTTCACATTTTTATCTACCTTCACAGAAAAGAAAGCCACCTTGCCTGAAGCACGTTACGCATTTTGCTACATGGAGCTTAATACCGTAAAGCTGCAGATGATGCTGAACGTAAACACCGAAACCACTTGCAATCAAAATCATGTTTTACCTTCCTCTTTCAAAACTGGTTTCCATACGCTTGTATGCTGCGTTTTGTGCCCATAATTCTTTAAGTGAGCTTATCACCGAAAACAGTTATGGTGGCTTGGTTTTTTCCCCTGGGAGACATATATTTTACGCCATTTAAAACAGGCCACTCAGCTGTTACAGATGTCAGATAATAAAACTGTCTCTTCTTTCTGCACCTGGCCATTTTCGGGATTATAGTGAAGTCTTCCTGAAGAAACTTGTTCTAATAAAACATTAAGTTTTAAAAAATAATTAAAAAAAAAGCAAACACCTGCAGAGATGCCACTGGAAGGCCACTCTGTCAAGCAGAGCTAGCACAAATTCCATCTGCTGCAAAAATCATCCCGAAAACCCCGTTAATGTCACATGTCAGGAGGAAACAATGTTGTTTAAATGTGTTTTCAGTTCTCAATACAAAAGCAACCTAACCTCAACTGTTTTTCAGAGGAGAACAAAAGTCAGTACACAATGGTGTAAAAGGAGACTGCTATTGGCAGCGCACACCACCACGGCACGGAGCTCTTTTACCGCTGTTTTACTCGCACAAGTTTAGAAACCAGAAGTTTGGGTAAAACAACGATCATCCCACAGCAAATGCCTGGAAAAAGCCCAGCGATAAAAAGCGCCCTTTCAGAAAGGCCTCCCGAGTCTCAAATGGCTCAAATATTACATGACCGTGTCACCAAGATCCTTGGCTCAGCATGCAACGGGCCACTGGAGCTCGGGTAACTTGGCAGTGAGAACTTACCTAAGCCGTGGGCAGTTCTGTCCCAGGGCATTCAGGATGGCATCTGTGATGTTACAGCAGCCTGAAGCACACAAGGATTGTAACTTGTGGCATCCTCTGCATATTGTAATGAGACCATCATCTGTTATTTGCTACAAGAAAAACAATAACAACATCACAAGCCATAACAACGTAGGTGGAGGTGCAAGGCACTGCATATTTTCCCCCTCAGACTTCCAACCAGGGACTTAACTGAGCCCAAGTTATGCTTCTTTCAACCCCAAAACACATTCAAATATTTCACTGGAGCAGCTGAAACAGGGTAAAGCCACATCGAAGTGACTTGTAAACATTCGGAAAGTGATTCCACATGCACCGAAACGTTTCTGAACTTGGACCACGTGAGTGATTGGGGAAGGCACGGCAGCAGCAGGCCTAGACTCAGTCTCCCGCCTTCCTTTGCAACCCTGGCTCGTTAAGACCTTCTTGGCTGAAACTCAAGACAAGAAAGCACCTAACAGTCAGAGCTACCCACAAAACAAGCAGCAGGTTGTTTTCACAAACAGCCTTTAAAAAATACACTTCCGTGGGGTTTGGGACCAAAACCTGAACTGCAGAGACAGGCTTACAGCCCAGATCACATTAAATTCACCCCGTGGCACACTAGCTCCATCAACCCGCTGCGTCCCTGGACACACGGGGGCCGTCCAGCCCCGCGCGCTCTGCTCATGAGTCTGGGATGGCAACAGTGCACGAATCTGCTCCAGATGTTTCCCTGCATGAGCACAAGGGGCTGGGACTCAGCGTGGCTGCACCAAGGAGCTGCACGGGATCAAGAGCGACGCACGCCGTGGGATGAGGGAAAAAGGGACAATAGGCGGCAGAGGCTGTGCGTGCTAGAGGACCAGGTTAAACCTCGCTCAGTTCTTTGGTTCCGGATTTTCAGAGGCAGCCAGACTCAATTCCCACAGAAAAGCACCAACCTAGGGACTGGCACGGCCTCTTTTAAAATAGCAAACAGCAAGTCTGTGGGCTGGTAAGCCCAAGTGCTGGAGGGAGATGAAACAGAAACTGAGAAGAAGTTGGTACTTTCAGTTAAGGCGATCAAGAACCTTATTAGTTTTCTTCTCCCTTCCGCCTGTTTGCCTCTCCCCTAATGCCAGACGCAGGTCTGGAACTTGCTAACAGTCCAGCTCCTCCTTTGCAAGCCCCCAGCCTCAGACGGATGGGCACCAGTCTCTGGCCAGTCTAGTAAACTGGTAAAGCTACTCCTTAAACAGCCCTGGGAAAGGACAGCCCTGCAGCCCCCAAAGGCCTTGCCCCCTTTTCTGGAAAAGGAAGAGACTGTCTGCTTACTCGCTGCATCAGACTAACTGCATGATGGTATGTACAAAGAGCCCATTCCAATTTCTTTTTTTGGCAGAAATATACATTTTTGGCACTGCAGAATAACTGGTTTAGAGCCCTTCTGTGTGCAGGGAAGCTGCACTACTTGGTTCAATTTTATGAAGAGACCGGAGGAACCGCCTGGCTACATCACCACACAAACACTCCAGCCCGATGGAAAGAATTTTTCCAGCTAGTCCTGCAAATGAGTTTAGAAGCCCTGTGGGCAGGGCAGAGAGACAAACAATTCTGACAAAGTGAATGCTGCGACACTGTTTTGGGGGCTTATTCAACATTACTGAATGCTACCAAAAAGCTGGTTTTCATCAACTATTTTTAAAAGTCTTGTAAATTTACAGTTGCGCTGCCGGCACAGATGATGACGTTTCTGGGATGGAGTACATTCTGCATGATTCTGCTTAGACACGGCCTCTAAATGCACAACGATGGCTGAGCTGGGAAATCATAGGAAGCTTTACTTACTGAGCATGTTTGAAGGTTTAAAGTCACCAGCTCGGGACAATGTGCACCAATGTATTTCAGAGCTTCATCCTCGAGCTGGGAAGAAAAATTTAAGAAACTGAAGCAACCTGTTAATATTCAAAGTAATCTTCAAACTGAAGCTTTGAGAACAATAAAGCATCTGTGGTTTGGGTATCTATGGGGGAGGAGGGCAATGCACTGCAATCTCAAAACACACAGCAGTAACTGCGTGCGGTTTTTTTTTCCCCCCCCATCTCAAGAACAGAGTTCAAAGACCCACAACACTGAGTTACTGATTTAAAGAAAAGCTGAGCTGATCAAACATGCATAATTAACAAAGCAAGTAGTGAAATCAGATACTATTTACAGGAATTAAGGAAATGCTTCAGTAGCGAGGGCCTATAAGTAACGCCATTTTCATATTGCAATATTGGAACTCAAAAAAAAATAAATCTTATTGCAGTGTGTGGAGCACAAACATATCCAAGTTGCTTTCTGATGATAAAAAAGCCTGCTCTTCTTAAATCTATAAGAACAGATGGCAAGTAATTGATAACAAGGATGTATTGCCATCAATATTACTCACGACTCCATAAATTACTAGCAACTCAAGCTGTTTCTATGACCTGAATTCTCAGAATAGGCAGAGATTGTTCTATCTTTAATCGAGTCATTTTTACAGCCATGTATACCCATCTCACGTATTAAAAATCCAACACTGGTATAAATTTAGAAAAACTACTGACTGTAGCCCTTACAGCTGGGCTCGCTTGTGCACACAAGGGTATTACTGCTTTGTGCACATAACCCGGGTATTATCGCCCTGCTTACCACAATAACCTTGCAGGACTTTGTTTCCAAGCACAGAAGAAAAACGCTTTTTGCAAAATAAACACATAGAGCTGTTTATGTGTACACAGCAAACAAAAATGGCACTTATTGACTCAGACTTAAGGAATCCCTATCCCCAAGGAAAAAAAAAAAACAAACCAAATCCAAAACAGGTAAGCGCTGTCAGTGTTCGGGTGCAAGGACCTAACAGATCAGAGATCATTTTCCAGCTCTACCTTGAGGCTCTTAAGCTCTGGGGAGTCTCTGGGTCACAGGTTTCAACTCCTGTGGGGTCAGTTTTACCATCCTTTTTCAAGGACAAGATTCTGAGATGCACATTTGCTCCTTTCTGGCCTACCTGTCTGCATTACAAAGACCCTAGCCCACTTAAATTAAAAAAAAGAAAAAAGAAAAAAAAAAAAGAATTAGTCCCCGCGTTCTTTGTGGAACAGCTCTGCAAGGAGCTCTTGCTCATTAAGAGTAATGCTCAAGGTTGATGCTCCCCATGTCCCTTAGTAAAGTCGGAATACAGGGAAGTATTTAACACATGAAATTTTTCAATCATTCACCAGGTAAGACAGATTAGAGAAAGATTAAAGGAAGTGAGTCTAAATAACTAAAAGCGTAACAAGGGGGCAACCCTCCCCCCCCTTTCAGCTGTAAGAGTTAGTGCACCATTGATATATTGCAAAGTACAGGCATCACAGTCTCTGCAGCCTCTTCGAAATACACAATATAGCTCAAGAGCTACAGGGTACACCCGAGGGAACAGCACTACACTCCCGACCGGCAGCAGAGATGCCTTTTCAAGGAGTCACATACACGGCGATTCTCTTTGACTAACCAGAAGATCCAAACGACACGTAGAGGAAATTCTATCACCAGCACAGATGAAAATACTGTCACGCTTTGTATAATTTTCTGCACTCAGAAATGGATGGGTCTAGCCATGAATAACGAAGTTATCTCCTCTTTAAAAAAAGTTTGCTCAACGCGTTCCCGATGGGGAAAAAAGAAGAATGATTCTACAGCTAGATATGCAATTTGTTCACTGTCCCACTATTCATGCTGAGCTCAAAGCTATTAAAGAGTTTCAATAAAAACAGTTAATCTCCAACAGACAGATTGTGAGTAATTTCAGTAACGTAACGTTTCTGGAAATAGAAAAATCCACAATACTTCATCCCCATACTTTCAGTCGGAGCAGAAATAAGCCAGCTGTTATTACTCAATTTGAGCACTCTCCGGAGAGCCGTACCTGCGTGCAGCCTTTCAGAAACAAGGCTTTGAGTCCACCACAGCCTCTCACCAGAGCCTGGATGCCATCCTTGGTCACTTGGTCGCACCAGGAGATATTTAGCTGTTCCAGCAGTGGGCATCCCTCGCTTCCGAGGTGAAAGGAAAAAGAGTGTGGAAACGTGGTTGGGATTTGAGAAGAAATCCTGCTTCAAGCCAAAATCTAGGAAATTCCCATTCCTGGAACCCACATGAGCACAGATGTACACCCGCACCCCACACACTCACGGGGAACACTTTTGCCAAACACCATCTCCAGGTGTGAAGAGCTCTCCAGAGGCAGTATCAGGAGCTCTAAAGCGGGGTATTAGTAGGGTAAACGACCACTGATTTATCCCATTTTGGACACCTCCCAGCTCCTAGACAAGGACAGACACTATGGGCTTTCTGGATCTGAATACAACCAAACCACCCTCAACGAAACCCCCAAAATAGGGTGGATTTCTGCCATGCTGCTTCTTACTTTCCAGGTGTAACTTTGCATTTGCAAATAGCTGCCAATAGGAGTAACACTCAAGTGTAATTTGTAATTAGGAAGAGATATACACGCTATCATGTATTTAAGATAGCTGCAGCACAAATTTGACCACATGAAATTAGAGACAAGGATGAAGACCCTCAAGGGAAGGAAAAAACATGCTCAAAGTATTTTAATGTAGCTACGAAAATAATTTAATCATTCTCTCTTTCAAATCTGTGTTTTCTTCTGGTGTCGCAATTTGCCCTCCAGTATTTTTTTCCTGTGATACAGCTTTCCTGTATTTTCTTTTATTCCACTGGTATATCACTTGAATTTTTTTTTTTTTTAATAGCTTGGCCTCTATTGTTACCTTTAGTGTTTTTTTTGCCTCCTTTTCTCTGTCCCAATATCTTCCCACCAATGTCTGTCTGTCCCTTCCTTTTCTAGATTACTTGGCAATTCCATTTAGCAGATTTAAGCAGTTATATGTCTCCTAAGCAGTTTAAAAAGACAAATAGTCACATGCTGGTGTTCACCTTCTAGCTATGTAAACAATTGCTAAGTACGCAATGGTACACTTACAACGAAGAGGTCAACTGTTAGCAAATGAGCATTTTAAAAAGGCAGACTAAGACTTTTATCTCCCCCAAAATCCCTCCTCCAAGACTTTCACAGAATATAATTCTTCTTCTACTGCTAATAACAATTGGGATGGATACAAACAAGGTTGAGGGCAGCTTTTACTGAGCCCTCCTCCCCTGTCTTGGCACACCAGGAGGCACAACGTGTGAATGTTGAGCTCTGCTGGGGAACACCTGAATTCTAACCACAGTTACGCCAGTCTCCTCCAAGGCACACGAGAGACACGGGGCGATGGTGGGTTACACTATCTGGAATCAACCGGCAAAAGTCAATGTCGTTGACTCCTACCTCAGTGCCTTCAGGGACAGGTTGGTTATGGAAGTGCAGGAAGCCAAATCAAGGTGCCTGAGTTTAGAGCAGAACTTACTGAGGCTGGTACACGTACTGGAAGAGAACATACAAGACACACTCATGCAACAGATTTATTCAGTCCTATACATTTCATTATGACATGCATGATATTATCTACCACATGCACCAGCCTGGTCTTCCCTTAAAAAAAAAAAAAAAGGAGAATATAACGTCGTGCACGTAGAAAAGGGGACGACAGGGCAAACAGATGAGAATGTTACTCACGCATCTGTGATCTTGGTACAGCCATTTAGGTTCAATAATTCAATATTTCTGCAGTTCTGTGCAAATGTCCTTTGTTAAAGGAAAGGGAAAACAGAGTATTTTTCAGGCAACAGACTTCCAGATGTTTTACAGCATTTGTTTTAACTGTAATGCATCAGATACAATTTTAAAAAATTGTCTCAAACAAAGTAAGTAAATAAATAAAATAAATATTTTATGTTGCCCCGTATCTTGCCTTGGGATTTCCCAGCCTAAAGGCAAAAGCTTCTCATTCAGTGCCAATTACTACATAGCCTGTAGCAGCAGCTGGCATTATTTTAATGAGAATTGAGAAAAATGACTACTGTGTGAAGTTAAAAAATGATAAATTGAAAAGGCTTATAAGTTATACTGCTCTCAATGTTTTAAGTTAGACACACAGGCTAAAGATCTCCGTTCCAAAGTGTTCATAAATTATTCCAATCCTCTGTGGTTGTAGAAACTGAATCATTCTTTACATCCCATTTAAGAGCAGAAAGAAGCCGTACCACTACCTTAATGCATTGTCTCCCACTCCTAGGCAGCCACGCAGGCTTAGCTTCCGCAAGAAACCCCCACATCTTTTAGATATATTTTCAACTACTCGGCCCTGTCGGAGACAGAAAGAATTACATGAAAATCCAAAAGTCACCGATCGTTTGAATTCAAAATTTTGCAGATTAACAACAGTTTGTTATTCTAGGTCAAACAGTGCTAAGAAATACCAGGATAATAATCTAAGAGGGAGAATTATTCAGCTTCTGAAGATGGAGAGACACGGGACAATTACCTAAAGCCACTCAGGCTAATGACTGAGGAATTTCCTCCAGGTCAGAGCTCCCGGACATCAACACAGACTACCCGAGGTGAAAGAAGCAATGCCACTGCTACCACACAGGCGGTCAGATTTACAAATAAGTACAGTCGATGTACTATAAACGGATACACATAAATTTCTATTCAAAATAGAGGAGGCAGAAGCAGCCCATGAGTTCTGTTCCCAAAGAAAAAAGGATTCAAACATTTGTGTTCAAGAGATCTAGAGAAATGCTTTTTTAATTTCAAATTTGTAATCAGTGCAAGCCTCCAAAGACTCCCCTACAAGCTGGCATTTACCCAGCTATTCCTCACTGTGCATGAAGTGGAAAAACCACCGAGAGAATATTTGTGTCAGTGTCCAAAAATTCAGAAACCTTCCCCTCTAGTCTACGTGGTTGTTCATCAGAGAACAGGAACATCACTCGGTTCTTCAAGTACTAGTTGGTATGCAAGACCTCTGTAATGATGAAGATATTCTTCTAGAATCTTTTTCCAGTCCAAAAAAAAAAAAAAATTAAAAATAAAATAAAAAAAAAAAATCAAGCACGAGGCTCAGTACAACCACAATCAAAAAAGGGACACCAGCTTAAGTGGATCTCCTGGTGACATCTGGCCACTTGCTTTCAGGGTCTACGGGAGCAGGTCTATAGCCGCAGCGTGCTGCTGAAGGGCTGCCCTGGCTGAAGATGGAAGCTCGACCTGTGCATCTGTGGGGAAGGGCTGGGAAATCTGAACCAGTCCGTGCGTTTTTGCAATTCCTCTAGCAAGCCTATGAATTCATCTGCTTGAATTAGAGGATTCAAACACATTTGTGTACAGAATTTACATTAACTGATGGATTTGCATTCCTTCAAAGCAAACAACGTTTAGGATATCTGCAAGTCCAGCAGGTACTTCTAGGTTTAGGTACAACATATTCAAGCATTTTGTTTTAAAAAGGGAAGTCCGTGCTTACGCAAGAACACGTGTTTGATGTATAGAGTGGTGTTAAAGAACAAAGAGACATTAAAACCATGCAAAAACCACTCAAGAATGAGAAAAGCCTAGTTTGTATTCACAGCACTCCGGCCTCTCTCCCTCCTATATGGAGCAACGGCAGCAGCAAGGCTGAGAGGCTCCGTCCACGTTTCCTGCTACCTCCATGGGCCAGGCACCAGGGATAACTTTACCTCTATTAAAGTAAATAATTATGTATGTTGGTCCAGAACTTTCAAGGCACATTAAGAGATAAAGTATTTATTATCGAGAACACAAATCACACCATTTACTTGCTTGATGAAGTCTCAGGCCACTTAAACCCCTGCGAGCACGCAGAAGTCACAGTATCACAGGCCTGTTCCTTTATCCGTGTGTCTCAGCTGCTTAGATACACAGCTGGCAGAAAGAGATTATTTTAACTCTTTCCTCCACAAATAATGCATTTCCCACCAGTTCCCACAAGGTGTGAATCTTCAGTCATTGTCTGGTTTATGCCTCTGTCTGGAATGAGTTAAAATGATGGACTCCCCAGCTCCCTCCTCCAACGTGTTTGAAAGAGGATATAACATTCTGATAAGAAACTTAAGGGTTTTTTTTAATCATCCCTTTTCCTGACTAATGCAATTTTAATTTTAAGAACAGTACAAACAACAGCATGCATTCCTACCAGTGCCGAGCAGTCCACATTAACAGATTTAGAACAGCTACACCGAAGCATTTCCAAAGCTGCATCTTTTAGGAATGATTTTGACCTTGTGCCTCTGCATCACTTTCACTTACATTTCAGTTTCCGATATTAAAGACAGACAGGAAAGGGCAGACATATTGCAGGCCGTACAGCAGCAGTAGTTTTCCAGAATGTACCTGTTCTACTTACTTTTGTTTTCAGAACACACACCAAAATACATTCCT